AAACTGCTTACCTGTCGTCGTACTGCCCCTCTTAATGGTGGAACTGGATGGGACGAGCGAAGGGGTGGTGTGGGACACTCCTCTTCCTCCTCTTCAAGTGTCTCATTATTGCATGGGGTATTGCTCACATTATTATTGTTTATATTATTATTGACAGAGGGAGTATTGATAGTAACAGTAGAAGCCCCATTTGGTGATATTGTAATGGTAGTGGAGGGTGTGATGTTGTCGGTTTTTTGTCATCATTGTCGAATCCTCCAAGGTACAACTGGCGTGGTGGATTTTGATGGAGGTGAGAGGTGGATATGAGTTGTTGTCGAGTTTTGTTCTTTTAATGGTCCAAGGAGTGGGTGCGTGAGGTGGAGAGTGGTGGTGTGGCATCGTGCACTTGGTGCTGTGCTGGTGTTTGATGTGAGAGTGGAGAGAGTGTGTGTTGCGTGCTTCCTCTGTCCTGCGTAATAACTATCGGTGAGTTGCATGTGTTTCGTTCATCCGTGCAAGACCCAGTGTGTGTCTGTGTGCGTGCCTCTGCATGTGTGTGTGTGTGTCTTGTGTGTGTGTGTGTGTGAGTGTGTGTGTATGTGTGTCTGCGTGTGAATTGTGTGCGTGTGTTGTGTGAATTTGTGCGTGTGTTTGTGATGTGTCCTGTGTTTGGCGTGTGTTGTGCGACCGTGCTTTTTCGTGGTCGTATCTGAAAAGGAATGAATTGTGAAATACCTGCGCTATGTCAAGCGAAGTCTGTGCCCGCAGCGTGCGTAAGATATGTGAATTCCTAAACGTTATTCCCGGTGATACCAACGCATCAAAGTATGTCACGAGTTGCGACGCGCGTTTGCGTCAGACGCATGCGAAAGGGGTACTATATACTGAGCTCACTTCTTCTCCGCGAAGTCCCTCTTTCCTATTAGGGAGATTGAATTCAATTCAACAAACCGTTCCGTTCACTCCCTTTCCTCAAGCGAGATTAATTATGAAATTCAACATATGCGCAAGAAATTCAATGCATATTAAAAGGAATTCAGAACGAACAAGAACAGTAATAAAAAAAACTATTATGAAACTTCATTCATCACAGAACTCGTGATTTAAAACCAATTATCTGTATTATTAATTTTGTCATCATTGTTGTTGCAGAGCAGCACAAGGCGGATCAACTCGTCGCATGTCGTTCTTTCACTCACAAGCAAGCTCTTGTACTGTGACTGAAATAATTAATGATGGTTATTAATCTTGAAATTACTGATATTTCCAATCGGCGAATAGAACTAATATTCTAATTAGCAAGGTTTCATATTTGCATGGAAGCGATGAATAAACCCAATACGGGATGATATGTTCAACAATACGATTGCACTACTAAATTTCACATTTCATTTGTATGTATAAAATCACTCTTTTATGATACACATTTTATGATACCTTCTTAGAGTCTATTTCTCTTTTCTCTGGAAAGTACAAATTCTTACTCGCAACATATTCCAAAGCTCAACAAAGAATTACAGAATTATTTTTACATATTCAATTTTAAATCTGTAAAGTTGGCGAAGCAGGTAATCCACTTATTGTTCCTCCAACTACACAGCGAGAGGGAAATAGCTCAGGCACTCACCCCTGTCACGAGGGCGCCGTCGTACACCCTCACGAGCCCGCCCGGCCGCATCTTCAGCGCAAATTTTGAATCGCCTCGAGGGTGACACGACTGGAGTTCCGCCGGTCTCGAGTCGTCCTCCAAGGTCAAACTGGTCCTCATGACGCCACCTGATGAATGTATTGTTATAATGACCAACGCAGTGAAAGTATTTATTAAGGTACTGGAAAATCACCTAAGATTATCAGATAAAGTAAGGTAAGCAATGTGTTCCAATAAGACAATAAGTGATCGCCATTATGTTATGATGCACTTTTTTGTATATAGGGCTGCATGTACATACAGCCTTCATACATGTTTCTTAGCTTTCTTGCCCTTCAAAAAAAAAAAAAAAAAAAAACCACGTGAAATGTTACCTGTCTTCCGAACGGTGACTTCCATGGTTAGAAAGAAGAGATTCGGATCTCGGTGTTTCATCCTGAATTTGGAGAGGATGGACTGCACGAGGTCCCTGCACGTGGTGGTGTAGGAAATGCACACCGTCTTGTACTCCATTTCTTGCATGAGGCACCTGACCCACACGCGGACCGTCGTCTGTAAAAGAAAAAGATCGTCAATAAAAGAAAGAAAAAAGACGCCAACAGCACAAGAATAGTAAACGGGCGAAATGTTAATGAAAAGTGTTTGAGTCCCGGCCGCTCCTTGAGGCTGCCAAGGCCTTACTATGACATTAAAAAAATATATATATAATGGTTTCTAAAACATCTTCACAACTAATTGGCTGCAACGCTCAAGCTTGGTTCGCTTCCAGAGAAAAGTTTAAAACTATAAAGACTTCTTGAATAATCCATGCATAAATTTAATTAAACATTGTACGATTACTTCCGCTGCCGAGTGAGACAACCGAAGGCG